ATTCTTATGGTGTATACTTACCTATACAATCAAACACAAATTATTTTTACTTTTCCCATGGAATTTATGTGAAGGTGCATGAAAAAAATAAAACAATACGTGCGAAACAATATAGGTGAAGGGAAATTGCGAGCGAAAGTGTGATAAAGAAGAAAAAAAATTACCCTTTGATCGCGAGGAGTACGAAAATAAAGAGTTCCACACTTATTTGTAATACCTTGGCTAGAGCGACTCTTGAAGATAAATTAAATTTGCCGCAGTACTCGCAAATTAAGCCATGAAGGTGCGAACAAAAATAAATAAACACAACAACAAAATATAAAAGGACTTTGTCTGATGTTGCTGTTATATATGTATACTTGGTACGACCACCATCACTGGCAAAGGTACGACGGAGACACATCAGTTAACACCGACAACATCGTTAGCTCTATTTTTTCATCGCCCTCTCCCCTGGCTCTTTGCAGGCAAAGCGGCAGTTTGTTATTTTAAAAATCTCTCGTTTGGTCTGCAACAACTGTATATACCGCTGCTTCTTTGCGGGCGCAACTTGACACAGACCCGCCGTTGGAATGGCCTCTTTTCCTCCTCGTCCTTTATTCGGAGCTTTTCCTCCCTCTGCCTCCCCCCCTTGCCACTCCAGGAGCTCGTTTGCTCTTGGCTCGTTTCTCCACCCCCTTGGTATACCTACCCTTGCTCTCCCAGCCCGGCCCTAGCTTTTTCATTTTCCCTTGGCCTCTCTGCCACCCACAGCTATACGCCCGAGAAACGAAATTGCCTTCGTTACGCGAAACGCAGCCTTTCCTCTCCCTGTGTATATGCTTCCTTTTTTTCCCGCCCTCCTATATATCATAATTATATACCCATCTCTTTTCGTCTAGCTGTGCGAGTTTCTCTCTTATTTCCTCCTCTTGGCGTCCCCACCCCCTTAGCTCTTTCTCTCTAGCGCGCCTAACCCGATGTTTTTCTACGATGCTTGCGTCCCTCAATTATTATTACTCTCTTTCGCAGTATATTTGCACCCGAGAGCGTCTTTTTATCTATTAACAAGGTTTTGGATGGACTGCCCAGTGTGTTCTTCATTCGGACATTTTTTTTTTTTTTTTTTTTTTTTTTTTTTTTTTTTTTCTTCTCGTNTTTGCTATCACTCTCTCGAGCTTTTTATCCCTGTTTGCCCTTTGGTTTCATTTCATTTCATTTTTTTTTTTTTTTTTTTTTTTTTTTCATTTTTAGGCGATGCGTTTTGATGAATGGACCAACGGATGTGTGTATGCGGCGCGTATACGCGGTGGGCGGATGAGGGATGAGTCTGTCGTCGAGACGATTTCGACTGAGGCGATCGGATGCCCGTGATATGCGCCCAATATCTCCATGTTGTATGGGAACGGTGCGGGCTAGTGTGGATATAAGCTGCATTTTTTCGATGATTTTTCGTAGTCGTCGTTACCTGCTTTAAGAGTCCCCGGATTGAGTTATTGGACTCTGATGTATCGTGGCGTCGGGGATTATTGACAATTTGTATCATACGAAAAATGATTAATGAGGGGGAAACAGAAATTCTTATTGGGGAAAACAAAAATAACGATGCCGAGTGATATAAACTGGTGGTCCATACCAAACAATATAATTATATACACGACAACGATGTTCCCTGGTCTTACAGCCGTAAGATGTTTTCCACGATCGGTACTGGATCGTCAGTAAATCGAATGGAAAAAAAAGTTGCCAGTGTTGGACAAACTATTTTTTCCATTTGCATACGATCGCAAGCCTTATTGAAATAAACGTGTCAACAAACTTGCAGTCGAAGTTGTCGAAAACGAGTGTGTAAGATCAGGCGCTCCGTGTAGCATCCATCAGTCACGCCGCCTGTCTATTATTAGGCTCGTTGTAACTTGTATACTTTTTTACGTAGCAATGACAGGAAGCAAGGAAGAAGATCGAGGGCGAAAACCCTTTTATCAACGCTGATGGTCTCGGTTGGCCGAGGCTGGTGCAAAAATCGGCAAGAATCTCCGCTGTAGAGGTATACGCGCGATGTTGTATACACGCAGCAGCGATGCGCAGAATAGGCCACGCACCTGTCAAAAAGGAGCATGGACCGAAAAGAGAGAGAGAGAGAGGCTCGACCGCGCTGTTTCTCTCCAATGCACCGGGAGCCTCCAGCCTCCCTGTACATATATATATATATATATACACGCACGAGCGTAAAAGAGAGTCCGGCTTGTCCCGAGTGAAAGATTAATTGCCGCGCGAGCTCTCGGCCCCGACGGCAGCTTTTTGCCCCCACGGCAACTCTTGCGCGAGGCCTGGTTTCTCCTCCTCCTTCGCTCTGTTGCGTCTCTCTTTGGTCGGCTGGCACGGTCGGACGTTTTCTCCGGGCGCACACTCGAGCGGGTATACACACTTGCTCTGAAAATGGGAAAAAGAAATCTCCGCGTCCGCCGTATGGGAAAATTCATAGGCTGCTGATGTGTGTTTCTTACGGAGCGGACGACAGGTTGCACAATGATTCGCGTATATGTTATATATACCCGTGAGCGCGATACGCGGGGACTCCCGATGCAGTGGCTCCATAGAAATTGGAGCGCGGTGATTGGGGCTCTAATGAGGAGGGGAAGGCATCCGGGAGGTTTCTGATTGCTCGGGAATCGTGCTGCACGCACTTGTGGTTCATGCACGAGAGAGTGATTTTGGGGTCGGAGAAAATTGCGGTGCTTTTTTTTTTCCATTTTCATATTATTTTTACGCTTTTTTTTCCTTACCCGGAATTTTTTGATTTCCGTACACTTACCTTTTTTTTTTCACGTGTGCTCGTGTGCCATGTGGTTTTTCGCTATCGTCGTAGTAATGATGATGCATTTGATGGTTGTTGGAAGAGGGTTTCTGAAGAAAAACACAGAGAGTCTCGTGGATTGTGAAAATATATTTGATGAAGAGTAAAAAGAGGATGAAAAGAGATAAACAATCACCATCCGGCTAACAATTTTTGCTTGCTTCCTCGCGACGACGCTCTTTCGTCTCGCCATTACAGTATACGGAAATTATTAGTTAGTTGATATACAGAAGGGGAAAGGAGCGAGGATCGGTAATTAACGTAATATCTAACGCGGCGACGAAAAACAAAATGACGAAGCTCGAGGGTCAAATTATCTGGTTTCGTTTATACCTGCGCTATATTGTTTTAATATCAGTATTGCAATGTAGAACACGACGCTGTCGCTGATTCCTTCGTCCGGTTTTTCTCGTCGGCCGTCACAAGAGGCACAGTCCCCCGTTTTCCAGTGGGGCTGCGCCCCAGTGCCTTGGAAAAAATCGAGTCGAGAGGAACGTCCGTTTTCATCGCCTCCAGTGGTGTATTGACAACATTTTTATATTCTTGCGACTTGATTGTTTTTTCTTCCTTTTTTGCATCGATTCATTCATTTTCACAATTTTTTACTATTTACAAACTCGAGAGAGCCAACACTGTCGTTGTAATGATCGTGATTTTTCACCATACCGGGGAACTTTTAAATTTTAGATTAAATAAAATTCACGATCGAGTCAAAGACAGGTACGCCCTCGCGCACACACGTTACATCCACTCTCATCATTTCCACTTGAAAATAATATTCTGAAATAATTACAGGACCTCGTCAAATAACTCACGTCAGCCTCAAAGAGCCGAGTATGGGGAGCTTTCCGTGGGAGCACTCACACACCCACACACACGTAGACTGTACATATTATTTTATTATTATTGTTAATTACCATTAATTTATTTATCCCTAGACCAACACTGTCCAGGTGCTCCCAGTTAATAAATACGTTCCATTCCTTAAAATACGACGCTTGTCACATAGGTACATCATAATATTATCATATTTATAATGTTTGTGTATAGTACAGTACAATGCCTCGAAGGTTAGCCTTATTTTTTTCCCGCCATGCGGTGATACACACGCGCATCGATTCAGTTTCGACGATGTTCGCGTAGAAGGGGTGTCATCGACTCGTTTGTCGCGCTGTACTCTCTACGCTACGGGATTTCTTTGCAATAAATAAGCGGATAAATAATGTTTTAGTCCTACACGAGCAGAGTCGAAATACATCATCGTACCGTTACCCCAATAACTCAATAAAAACACCAATCGTGCCCGTAAAATGCAGAGATCGGAGCTTTCGGATACACCCGTGGGTGAATTGCTAAGCAACAAACTCGCTTGACTATATAGGTACGTTAATGGACGTATCTGTAACGATCCGTGTCCGATACGTCGGAAAGACATTCAATTCACAATGTAGATCCCTTCAATCAACGACTTGATAAACGCAAAAGTATTTCGTACCTAAAACGCTATGTCGGTAACAACTAGTTGACGAAAATTCATAATTGAAAAGAAAAGAAAAATCCCATTTTTGCATGTATACAATTAATCGATGCACGTAATTTCTAATTTACTGTACAACGATATTATTGAAATTGGTCATTACTTACGCGAATCATTATACCGTCGTCGAAACGAAACAATTTCATTATTATTCACAAGGTAATCGAAGAATATTAATTTGGAATCGAAGTTTCTTCCACTACCGACACGCACGACTGAATCGAAATAGTTTTGCTCTCCCCCCGGTCCGCACACACCACGCGCACCCCAGCACTTATCACAAAACTCACGAAACGCTAAAAATCCAACTTGCGATCATTGACATAATAACTTATATAACGAAGGAAAAAAAAAAAAAAAAAAAAAAAATCGCCAATCGTACGTGCGAGGTGTACATCGTAAAATATATGTATATATATATCGTACAGTATAAATAAACTTGGCCATCGTTGGTTTACCCGCGAAAATCACACAGGGAAGAGAGTGCAACGCAAATCAACGTTAAACAACAAAATGTAAAAAAAAAAAAAAAAAAAAATTTAGATTCACCAAGACGATGCGAAAGAAATAGTTTGCGTTTCATCGTCATCACCGTTGCACCGCAAACCTGTTCCATCAGGTGAACAATCACGCGCAATCCAAGGAGCCCAGCGAGGCCGGACTGTGAGAGCCGCCGAGGACGAAGGGCGGACTCATGGGGGGCCCACCGCTGCCGGCACTGCTGCCGTACATGTCGAGCTCGCTGAGGCTGCCCGAGTCGACTCCACCAGGCCCGAGGACACCGCCCGGGCCGCACTTGTCCGACTTGCCCTCCTGCTTGAGGACCATCCGCCGCCACTTGGCCCTTGCGTTCTGGAACCACACCTAATTCGGGGACACACAAACATATATATCCCATTTATAGGTCAATCGTCGCTCAACATTTGTTGGGTATACATTTATCATTACTACATGCAAATAAATAATGTTGGGTACAAGGGACCAAGTGAAATCTGGCTAGTGTGTGATTTTACATTGGCGAGCAAAAATAAAGCGCATCTCGCGCGTGCTGCGTATCGTATGCATTACAAATGTCCACGCCCTTGCAACGTGTACATAAATATATTTATATCTACACTCCACCGTGCATCACGTATACAGGAGATAATATACAGAGTTTTATGGTATACAGTAGCCGGGCGTATGCAAATCTCGGGGAATATACATTGGGCAAAACAAACAAAAAAAAAAAAAAAATCCGAAGAAAGAAAGAAAGAAGGGGATAAAAGGAGAGAGAGAGAGAGAGAGAGAGTTGTGCGCTGGAGACAGATAAAAGGTACACATATACACATATACAGAGGGTATGCCCGGGGAAGAAGCACAAGTATCGAGAAGGGAATCTCCCCTTTCCCTTGAATCCTCCTCGAGCTCCATCTTATCGCGGCTTCTTCGTGCACCGTATACATATGTATATATATATAGAGGGAGGAGGGAAAGGGAGCATTGTTCCATCACGCCGGCGCAACAGCGGAGCCTGTGTACATATATCCTTTTACTCCTCTCCCCCTCCCTTCTCTCCTTTACTCCATCGAATAAGAGACACGCACGCGGGGAGAGAGAAATCGAATAAAAGATCGCGTAACACCGGCAGTCATAGAAGTAGTAGTCGTAGTTATCTTCCCCCTCGAGTGGTCGCCATTTTGGAGATAGTTGCTCCTCCTCCTCCATCGTGGATTCTCCCCCCCCCACCCCCACCCCTATTTTATTTTATTGTGCACATATTGTGTGTAGATGTACCGGGGATGATAGCGATGCTGCGTATATAGCGGACAAAAGCGAGGGGTCGCTATGATACATATATACATATATGTTGGAGGGATCATCGCGTGCGTGGGTCGGTGTGGTGCGTATTTTTATGTAATATGCATACATAGGTACAAATGGAAAAGGGAGGTTTATCGAGAACTGATGAATAATTTCGTTGTATTCGCGTACACAATGGTGGGTTTGACTGTTAAGTGGCGAGAAGTGGCAGTATTTGTATACGCGAAGGTAAGCTCCCACACGTGAGGACGAGGACAGCTTTTAAAGGGTAAAATAGTGCTTTGGAAGTCATGATATGGTGATTATGGAGTAAACGAAAGAAAAGGGGGGGGGGGCAGATGAATCGTCATTTTAAAAAATGTTTCCCCTCTACCCTGGTATAGAAACGTTACTACATAAGCTGGCCAAAAACTCGTCAACACACATGCGTTAATGGGCTTATAATATAAGTTGACGAGTTTCAAGCCAGCTTATGTATAAGTAACGTTTCTATACCAGGGTAGTTCGGCGGAGAGGAAGGAAGAAGAGCCTCGGTCTCGCGGAACCCGAGAAAGCAAAGAGGAAACTCCCAGCGCACTCGTATATATAATGTACCCACGCGCCCTCGCATACAGGTATACAACGTACACATAGGTGTATGTACAAGCGAGTCTTGCGATCAATATCAGGCAAGATGGCGCGGCCCCCAAGACTCTCTTTCTATCTCCCTATGCCAGAACTTTTTTTTTTTTTTTTTTTCTTTCCCCCTCACTGCTTCACCTCCTCCTCCACGCGACGACGAATACAATGGCCCTTTTCCTCTCTCTCTCGCTTCCTTTTTTTACCACCACCACCACCACCGTCTCCACGTATATATGCGATTTTGTGTCTCTCGATCGCTGCTACCGTGGCCCCTGAAATTTCAGTCCGCGGAAGAGGAGAAAATATACACACGTACTTGTCAAACTCGCATGCACCAGGTGTACATAGGTGTATATTTTAAACCCCGGGGAGTATCAAAGATTGCTCGTGCTATTGGAAAAGATGATTTGACATCCGGCCCGAACCAGTGTACGGGAGCTCTCAGGATTCAAGGAGCTGTAGAGCGGGGGTGTCGAGACAGAATAAGTGAGGGGAGGGGACGCGATCCTTGCCAAAAATAAAACAAGACGGGCGGGCTCGTCGCTGTCTTGAGTACGTATAGGAGGAGAAAGGTATATATTATGCACACACAGTACAGGTTGTACCAACGGAGGAGAGAAAGCGCGGAAAGAGGACTTTCCTGCTGATACACGTATACAATAAGCGTGTGTGCTTGCGTTCCTCCCAACTGCTCGCTGGTGTCGTTTTTTTGCGCGATGTACGTGCAGGAGAGATTGGTGTAAAATTGCAGGCCGAAAATTATTATGAGTGTATACACACGGTGCGAGTCGAGAGGGAATCTTAAGAACCGATTAGCAGATAGTTATCGGCAAAAGCTGTTATTTCCCGCGGACTGTGTGTGCGAGAGCGAGGGGGTGAAAAAAAAAGAAGGAAAGACCAAACGCGCTCGCGGATTTCTCGGAGAAAAGCATCGGCCCGAAAAACCCCCATCGCACAAAGCGATACTTGGGTGTGGCTCGCTTTGATCTCCGGACCTACGGCGGCTCTCCGATAATACGTCTACCACGAGCGGCAAGGAAGGGGGGGGGGTAAAAAAAAGCGATCGCCGTTACACCACACACAGGCACATATGTATACTTATGACGCGTGTGGATAATTGGGGCAAACGCGAGCTCGAGCCGAGGTATATATACACGTATATACGTATCACAAGCCGCGTGGACATATACCATGTGAGCGCGTGTGTGCCCCAAGTGGAAGCAGAAATAAGAGGGGGAGAGGGAATAAGCGTATGTGTAAGTGTACAACGAATAAGGCGGTTCTCGCGAAGAGGGACAATTAAAGGAGCGCGGGTACACGCGCTAAAATCGCTCTGGTGGCGCGAGCGAGCGGCTGATTTATGGGCGCGGCACGTGTAGGTGAGCCCGACCGGGCGATAGCGGTCTTTTCTCTCCTCGGATTGACGAAGTGCGAGAAGGGGGTTTGTAAAAAGGGGGAGGCTAGAGGGAGAGAAAGCGACGAGACGAGCCGTCGACGGAAATATCGCGGAGGCGCGCGACCGTCGGCTTTTGAGAAATAAGAGCTAGACGAGCCCGAAGCGTCGGACCCGCGCTAATTGGAGGCGGATTATATACATGTGTGCTTTTGTAGGCGCGGGGGGTGGGGGGGGGATATATATTTTTACGCCCAACACCCCTTTCTTCTATCTCGGGCGCGGTTATATATCGATGATGCTTGCACCCTTTATAGGGATGTATACGCGATGGTGACGACTTTTCTTTTCTTTTTTTTTTTTTTCTTCCCGCTGACGGTACGGAGCTACGGTGTATATAAACAAAAGCTGCACGTGCGAGCACCGCGTATACGCCCAATTAGGCGCGCTCCGCTGCGTTTTTCGACCTCGCGATCCTCTCTTTCTCACTCTATCGTTTTTTTTTTT